CGCCCGCCTCCCCGCGATCGTCACCCCGGAAGCCCAGGAGCGTCGCAGCGGGCGGGCCGGTCTTTCCACCCCGAGTTTTGTCGCTTCGCGTTCCCGATGCGTCATCCGGGCCCTCTGACCCCAGCGAGAGATGCTGTCTCCCTTCCTCGAGTCCCCACTGCACACGATCTGGGACAGGTCTTAACGGAGGGGGCCTTTTCCATCTGGCCGAGGTCCCTTCGAAAGGAGCCCCGGGGCGCGGTTCAAAACGCAGCAGCCAGCTGCTTTGCAGGCGACAGACGGCCTCACAGACCCCCTGGGCAGGTGCGCTCAGTACAACGGGGGTGGGTCGGAGCGACTAGCTGGCTGTGTGGGCGCCTGTGACATCACCCCATAAGACCTTCAGAGGTCGGCGCTCTGCTGGTGACACCCCCACGCCCCAGCACTGAGCGCACCGCTGCTGCAGGCCTGGGAGATGACCTGTTCAAAAGGTGCCCCCTGCCCGGGAAGCCCGCCGATTTCCACCAGCGCCCACCGGCCCTCCCTCCCGACCCCCTCTCCCCTCTTTCTCCGATCCGTGGATCCGGTCTCCCCACATTTACCTCTTCTTCCCTGGCTTCCCCTGCGTCTCTCTGGTCTGCCGGCTCGTTGGCCATCTTCCCCGAGCTCCTCCGCTGCCCCTTCCACTGCAGTCACTCGTGGCTAGACCCGTGAGGTGGCGATCGCCCAGCTGATACCTGGAGCGCCTCACATTTTCCTGGATGTGGGGTCTGGAGGGGCCCTGGAAGAGCAAGGAAGATGCCGGTGCAAGAGAGGCTGTGTCGGAGGAGGCGGGGGAGGAGGAGAGAGAGGCGACTGGCCCGCTGATGTCAGATTTTCAAATGAGCAGGGTCCCCTGCCACCGCCTGCCCACTGCACTGCGGGGCTGTCACAGGCCGAGACCACCCCATTTGAGGGGGAGAGCCTCCGCTCCTTTAGGCTCTAGCCCGGGACTCGGAATGCCTGCTATGGGGGAGGGGCAGGGAGAGAGACAGTCGGGCGTAGGGGTGGGGGTGCACACCACACGCAGGGGCTGCAGGCAGGATCCAGGCTCCCCCACTGGCCAGGCAGTTGGTATGCTCCAGGGTCTGTGCGGCTCCGTCTAGCATCCTTCATCCTTCAGGTACCAGCCAGGCGGACAGTGCTTGAGCTGCAAAACCCGACCCTCGCCCTGCAGATCTCTGGCCCGACCCTCCCCAGGGTGGTCTGCGGCTGCGTCAGCTACTTCCGACTGCAACGCCCGGCAGGGTGGGGCACCCATCAGGCAGAAGGCTTTGGTGCGCCGACCCAGCCCCACTGACCTTACACCCCCCAGGGGCCGCAGCCACCGCCGCCTGTCGACTGGACTCAGGTCAGCAGGGAGCTGCCTGCTTTTCTCTCCCTGGGGTTCCAGCGGGGCAGGGGGGGAGGATGGACCTTCCTGATCCTGATGGGGTGGGGTTCTTTCTGGGGGAGAATTTCACAGCTGGGAAAACACACACACAGGACTTGGACTGAGAAGCCTTAGATTTCTCGGCCCCGGGCCATGTGGGGGGCTCGGGTGAGCATGTCATCCATTCCTCAGACATGGGAAGGGTCCCTAGAGGTGGGTGGTGATAAAAGGGGACAAGACAGCA